GGCAAGGGACCATCTAATCTAATAAAAGACAAATATGCAAATTGACCATATCTTCACTATGCCTTAAGCCATGCCCACCAGCCAATCAGAGCGACTATATGAAAATTAACCCAACCAAGATGGCGGCTGGAAGCCACGAAGCTGGAGTGAGCAGGAGGTGTGGTTGCTCCAGTGATGGAGGAAGCCAAGCTTCCTGCCTGCCGCGGCTGGCTCTGAGCTCCACTCAAGGCAACAAAGTTTCAATTATAGAAGGTAAATAAATCCCAGAATAAAAAAAGAAAGAAAAAAGGAGAGGCTGGGAGCTTCCGTCGCCGGGGGGCTTGGCCAGCCTGAAAATGGCCCTCAGCCCCTCACCCAGACTGGCCAGGCACCCCAGGGGGGACCCCTCCAGCCTAAAGGGGGTGTGGCCAGCCTGCAAACAGCCATCAGTCCCTCATCCAGGCTGGCCAGGCACCCCAGTGGGGACCCACCCTGAAGGGGGTGTGACCAGCCTGCAAACAGCCATCAGCCCCTCACCCAGGCTGGCCAGGCACCCCAGCGGGACCCCCACCCTGATCCGGGACACCCTTCAGGGCAAACCAGCCAGCCCTCACCCATGCACCAGGCCTCTATCCTATATAATAAAAGGTTAATATGCAAACTGACCCTAACAGCAGAACGACTGGGAATGACTGGTCACTATGACACACACTGACCACCAGGGGGCAGACGCTCCTGATGGTCAGTGCGTTCCCACAGGGGGAGCTCTGCTCAGCCACAAGCCAGGCTGATGGCTGCCAGTACAGTGGTGGTGGTGGGAGCCTCTCCCGCCTCCTCAGCAGCGCTAAGGATGTCCGACTGCAGCTTAGGCCTGCTCCCCGCTGGCAAGTGGACATCCCCTGAGGGCTCCCGGGATGCCAGAGGGATGTCTGATTACCAGCTTAGGCCCAATCCCCTGGGGAGCGGGCCTAAGCCAGCAGATGGTCATCCCCTGAGGGATCCCAGACTGCGAGAGGGCACAGGCCAGGCTGAGGAGCCCCTCCCCCCCGAGTGCACAAATTTTTGTGCACCGGGCCTCTAGTCCTATATAATAAAAGCCTAATATGTAAATCGACCAACAGCAGAATGATCGGCAGAATGACCGGTCGCTATGACATGCACTGACCACCAGGGGGCAGATGCTCAACACAAGAGCTGCCCCCAGCCTGCAGGCCCCAGGGGGAGGCGACTGGTGGTGGCGGGGCCGGCGAGTGGGTGGTGCCAGGCAGGTGCCAGCGGGGGCCCCCTGACTGCCCTGCTGGTCGCCCCGCAGAGGGAGGTGACTGGAGGCAGCGGCAGGTGCCAGTGGGGGCCACCCAATCGCCCCACCGGTCGCTCCACAGATTGGGCCTGATTGCTGGCCAGGCCTAGGGACCGTACCTGGGCACAAATTTTGTGCACCGGGCCTCTAGTCTATATAATAAAAGCCTAAGCGACCATTAAGATAGAACAACCAGAACGACCAGTCACCGTGATGCGCACTGACCACCAGGGAACAGATGCTCAACTCAGGAGCTGCCCCTGGTGGTCAGTGCGCTCCCATAGGGGGAGCACCGCTCAGCCAGAAGCCGGGCTTATGGCTGGTGAGTGCAGTGGCGGGAGCCTCTCCTGCCTCTGCAGCAGCGCTAAGGAGCAAAGAGCTGGGTGGTAAGGAGCGAGGGGTCCCGGACTGTGAGAGGGTGCAGGCTGGGCTGAGGGACACCCTCCCCCCTCTCAGTGCACGAATTTCATACACCGGGCCTCTAGTGCTTTATATTTCTTTGATATCCCTGATGGTACCTGGTACACTATAGGAAATTTATCAGTTGTTTTGAAATTTTATTCTAACTGCTGCAAGGGAGCTACCTAGAGTAGTCACTGTATATAGTACCAGCAGCAGTACAATGTCACAGTGTGAATTTAGTAGTATCACTATCTTAGGGGGAAAAAAATTTTAAAGGAAATCAGTGGCAGTATTAAAATTTGAGATACTGATTTCAGACCCAAACACCGTAACTTTATCAGGTAACAATGATGTGAATTCAGAAAGCTTAAACCTCCCTGACCTGAAACAGCCTGGAGAACACATGGAAAGTAAACACGGCGCAGGACCCATCCGAGTCAGACAGCATCTGGTTGACGTGGCAGCGCCAGGCTTCCTCTTCGTCCTCGCAGGCCACCGGCTGGAAGGCGGCGATTATGGCAGACAGGAATGGCGACGGCAGAGGCGACGCCTGCACTTCTGGAAAACCATCTTCCTCTTCCTCATCTTGACTGTTAACACAGATCACAGGAATCATAATGCTCTCTCAGAAGAACAGACTCAGTTACTCAGCATGCTGTTAGTCATCCAGTCTACATTATTCTTACGAATGCACAACCAACAAAACTTTGTAAGAAAGCACGAATAAGCACAAGCAAGCAGATTTCTGGTTAGCACCTTCTACTTAGCCTCTTTGGAATTAGAAGTCTAATTTCACTCGACTAACCTTAAACAACCCAAGTCCTATGACATGCCAGCACTATGGACTCATTTCAGTAATGGCTATGAATAATTCAGATTAGAAAGCTTTCATGTTACCTAAACAAACTCATACATACAGACAACAGAATGGTGGTTACCAGAGGGGAAGGGAGCGAAGACAGATGAATTGGGTAAAGGGGTCAACTATACGGTAATGGAAAAAAAGTAGACTTTTGGTGTAAACATGCAGGCGTATACAAGATGTCAAATTACAGTGTTGTACACCTGAAATGTATATAATGTTATTAACTGACGTTACCTCAATAAATTAAAAAAATTTCCATTTTAAATGGTCAATTTTGGAGGCCCAAATTGATGATGATGATGATATTAAAAAAGCTTTGGCCATGTGCTTTGTGTCAAGGGCTGTGTCAGGTACTTTATATGGACTGTTTCGTTCATTCTTCACAGCAACGCTGTGAGGGTTAGGCACTATTATCTCCATTTTCTCGATGAGGAAAAAAGTTTGCTTGTTTATTATTTTTAATCCTCACCCAAAGGCATGCTTAGAGAGAGAGAGAGAGAGAGAGAGAGAGAGAGAGAGAGAGAGAGAGAGAGAGAGAGAGGAAGAGAGAGAAACATCTATGTGAGAGAGAAACATTAATTGGTTGCTTCCATATGTACCCCAACTGGGAAAAGAACTGGCAACCTTTTGGTGCACAGGACGACGCTGAACCAACTTGAGCCACGCCAGCTGGGCAGAAACAGTTTAGGGAGATTAAATAATGTGCTTAGGTTGTTGGGTAGGAAATGACAGAACCAGAATCTGAGTCCAGGACTATGGGTCCACAATCCCAATAATAAAAGCCCTGACAGGCAGTGCCAGCTCAGCTACTTCACATACTGCGTGCTCAGCAGTATGGCAGTGGCAGATTTTATGCAAAAGGAACATACGACCTAGCCATTTTCTGTAAGGAATTTATAATCCCAAGAGTCAGATAACAAAAAATGGAACGATGAAAAGAAAAAGAAAGATGTATTTGGGTTGGACAGTCTGTGAAGTGTGCAACTCTGGGACTTGAGGATGCAGAGCTTGTGCCAGACACTCCATAAAGAAACGAGTTCCTCAAGGCCTTGCAGGTGCCTGTTCCACCTTACAAGGCAGAAATTACAGGAGAAGGATCTGAGTAAAGGTTGGGGGAAAAGATGAAAACAAAGCAGATGTTTGAAGTGAACAGTTAAATTACACCTCAAAAAGCTTTTTAAAATGTCACTGGGGTGACTGATTTGAACAAAATGTATCCTGTATGCTTGAGTAGGTGTGCCTTTGTAATTAGTAGGGATGCTCTATTCCATTTCAGTATCAGTAAACCATTTGACTTCAGCCTTTTAGAAAGATGAACAGCTGGCTATCTACCCCTACATCGCCTCTGGCATCCCTGAACTTGAGTATGATCGGTGAGTGAGCGAGTGTATAGGCTACTGTCATATCCAAATAAAAAACATCAACAAGGTGCTGTTAATGTCTGAATGTCCACGTCCATATGTAGGTCAGACTCTAGATATACTAAGAGTGAAAATTATCCTCACCTGTTATACATATTCAAACTCTATTATCAATTGTGGTACAACTGAATGATTTTTATTGCAAGAGTAAAACTGACATTTGATGATTACTAAATATTTCTGTGTAAGACTAACTATCAAGGAGTGTCAGACTGTAGACTAGAGAAACATTTAGAAGGCAGAGTCTGACAGTACTAAAAAATCATCACTTCTGCTCATTATATGTCAAACTTGAAAAATCTGACCACTGATAATGAAAGTGGAAAATCATTTTTAGATACATTTCAGATTTATTCTGGTATCATAGACGTTCACTCCATGATTTTGATACTTGGATCTGGCTATGGCCCAATACTGATTTTAACATCTCGCTATTAGGCATTCTGCCAAAATAGGTATTTGCTGCTTCTAAAAATGTATAATGACACTCACTGTGCCTTGAGAAATGCTCATTTGTTTTTCTTTAAGTGAATGTTAACAGAAGATAAACCCACCACAGTAAATCATTTTATCTTTAAAAACGAAGATAGTATGACTGAAACATACACAGAAATGAAAGTAAACTGGAATAGAGGGTCATATTTGGGAGTGGGTGGGAGCAAAGATATCATCTCATGAAAGTGTTTGTGATGCCTTCTTCTCACCTAGACAGTCCAGAAAAATCCGCTTCTTCCTCCTCACATCTTTCATCTAGTTCTTTCAGAGCTAAGGTGACATCGTCCTCACAGATGGACTCTTGGTAGCTCTCAGGGGCCAGAGGTTCTGGCATGTCAGTTTCCTCTAAATCAAGAATTCCTTGACACACGAGAGAATCCTGCTGTTCTTGAATTACATATGCCCCCGCATCTCCAAAGGCTGTAATAACCTGTTCCTCCTTTAATACTGAACTTGTATCCTGTGAAAACAGTATTTTTATGGACTTTAATAACATTAAAACAGACAATTAATCAACATAAAATAAACGACTATTGCCATCAATATACAACTATTTTATTAAGTTGTCTTCATTCATACAGTTTCATTTTTAGAGTTTTTAGATACTGACTATATAAAGTTGTTTTTTAGAAATAGTCCCAGGTTTAAAAAAAATGAAATTAATATGTTATCACTTATTGCCACATATAAACACCAAGGAGTTCTCTTAAGAGGATTTAGGTGTTTAGTTAGAAATATATTCTCTGGGAAAATACCTTCTCACATACATATTCTAATTCCACATAAGAAGTTTATATTACTATAAATTCTCTCTCACATAAAATATAATTTCTTTCATTATACCAGAACATTATATCCAGTAAATTCTAGATATAAGGAAGGGGGCTAATTCAAAATAGTTAACCCACTGGCCCTGTGGGGCTGCCCATGAATCAGGAACAGGTTTTGACTAACCAGGAGAATTAAACGGAAACAATGATGGTCCATGGACCTCCTGGCATAAATGAGCTGAATACTTGTGATGTAACAATTGCTTTCGGGTGTTAAGACCACACAACCTTGTTACATCACTGAGTTACAGTTCAGAAACCACTGGGAAATTTTAGACTTTTGTTTTTGAAAAGTAAATGAATTACAAGCTCATTTATCAAACAGGATGACTGCATTCTTCTAACCCCAAGCAAATGATAATACAAATTTGCGTGGATATTAGTTTAATCAGTTTGAAAATAAGCACTATTTGGTCCCTTACAGTTTTAAGAATAAAGACCAGCTTCTTTTGTTGCTTAGACCCAAGTTACTACTTGATTTACGTTAGTTTCTTATCTTGTTTTCATGGACAAAAATAGAATATTCTTCCAAAATATGAAAAGTAAGTGAAAGTCAGAACCCTTGACTTTTGACCAGCCTGGGCCTTGGTTTATTCATCTGTAAAATTTATATAATAAAAGAAGGATTCTGATCAGGTTCTGGGCTGGGTGCACTGAGATAAATGAATATGGTACGTGTAAGGTAAATATCATGAGCAATAGGCAAAGGACTACTGGTACTCAAAGAAGGGAAAGATCCCATCTGGTTGAAACAATTGAGAGCCTTCTCTTTGGAGGAAACATGTGATGGGCTGTGACAAGACCGGGTTGAGCTGTGGAATGAATATCTGTCCTCCCAAAATTTACATTTGGAACCCTACACCCCCGTGGATGGTATTAGGAGGTGGAGCCTTTGGGAGGTGATTAGGTCATGAGAGTGGAGCCCTCCTGAATGGGATCAGGGCCCTTAAAGAGGCCAGAGAGCTAGCCAGCTCTTTTTCCCTCCACGTGAAGACATAGCAAGAAAACAGTCATCTGCTACCAGGAAGAGGGCCCTCGCCAGACCATGAATTGGCTGGCACCTTGATCTTGGATTTCTTGGCCTCTGGAACCGTGAGAAACATATTTCTGTTGTGGATAAGCTACCCAGTTTATGGTATTTTGTTATAACAGCCCAAGCTAAGATTGGTAGTATTTCAGGGAAAAGGAATTAGAAGTTGTCAAAGGCACAGAAATATGGCAAGAAAATACAAGGTGTGCATGAAGGGATTGAGTCTTCACAGAATAATACGTCAAAAAAAAAAATACAGTACAAGTATTCCTTAGTCATCCCAATACCTTATATTCACCACACTCAAAGGTTTAATTTTTTTGATGATTTGGTCATTAAGCATCAGTTATTTGGAAAGACAGTTTATGTGATAGTGCTAGAGACATTCCTAGAATTTTTATTGGTGTTAATTTTTCCTTCTACATCAATTTAAACATATCAGGTTGAAATAATCCACCAAACTTCTTAGTTTAAGGCTCTCATTTTTCATTAGTTTATACCTATGTCTGGTTGTCATTTGTTCTTGGATAATACATTTTATAATTGTATATATTATATAATATACACTGAAATTTTCTCTAGCACCTAGATTTCATGAAGACACTGCTTTTGGGCTAATGGAATGGATTCCATGGCTATATGTAGATTATGAGAATCAAATTTTCTTATTAGACAAACACAAATATACTTTGTTACCTTCAAAGATTCAATACCTATAAGGAATAATTTCTGTCACCCATGAATTGGTCTCCAAACTATTATAAACACTGGAAGAAATCCTCGGTGAAGATTTCTCTAATAAACACAAGTTCAGAACTGAGTTCCCTTCCAGCCCAGAAGTTATAGTCATGACATGAAACACCGTTGCCTGTTGTTTTCTCTTCCTGATATTAACATAATCTAAGAGAAAAATTCAAAAACACTCCTAGGAATAGATTTTTTTCTTCATTCGTAAAATAGCTAACCTATTAAAATTAATTCTATTCCTTATTTTAAGAAAATGCTTTAAGTAATAGAGTTATGGTCTTATTTCAATATCTTGGGGCTTTCATACTTTCTTAAAAAGGGGGCATTTTGGGGTCATTTGACATTTTTAGGCACAGCAGGGAAAACCAAATTAGGCCAACATACCCAACAGATACAAGCTTGTATTATTTCTCTTGAGGACAGCATTCTTTTGGGTGATAGTTGTAATGTCAATAGAACTGTTTCTAAATGAAATACTATGGTTTAAAAATATCTCCTTTGTTCTTATCCACCAGTTCACATAGTTTATACTAGTAATGAAACCCACTACTGTGGAAAAAAACCCCTAGAAAATGAAGTGTTTTTCCTTTAGGAAAGGAAATAAAGTATCATCAGGAACTTTATAGTAAATAGGAGGTAAGCCCATTAAGTATTATTGGATGAGTGAATGCCCATCTGAAATAACACAATTTCCAATATACCATACTATACGGAAATATATGAGTTATTTCTGGGAGGTAGTTTAGTATGCTTGTAGCTGTTTAATAACCAAAAATTAAGAGTGCCCTATTTGTTAAACAATATTAAAACATATAATCATTAACCACACTGCTTTTCTTAAGAAGAAGGTATTTCTAGCATCAGTCTGCTGTTTCCATGGTTTCTAATGAGAATGTCGGTTGACCTTTTAACGTTATGATCCAAGCTACACACGGGATTATGAACTGGTAGTTAATGCTCACTTAACAAGCCTCCCAACAGCTGGAAGAAATATCGTCCACTTAAGGTGCACCTCTAAATCCTGCCAGTCCTCGGCTGTAAACATTTCTCCCGCCCAGGCACTTGGTCTTAGTTCAGGCCCTCTTCATCTCTTCTAACATTATCTCCTTATCTCAGCCTCCTCCAGTCCACACTCCACACCTCTTACCACGCAGACTCTGCTAAAACACAAGGCAGACCCTAGCCTTCCCCTGATGATAGGTGCCTAGAACGCAACAAGCTGCCTGTGGCAGGTACAAGAACCTACTTTCCTTTTTCCATAAGAAAAGCTGAGATTTAAACAAGAAACACAAATCAGACCACGTTCTTCTGCTTAAAATCCTCCTATGGTCACCTGCTGTGTGGTCTCTAATGGCGACCAGGAGAGCCCAGCTCGACTTGCCCAGGTCCCCGGCTGCTCCCTGCACCCGAACGCTCCCCTCACATCGTCAAGGGGTGGCTCCTTGTCCCTTCGGCTTCACCTCGAACGCACCCATCCAACCCTCTCCCTCACCAACACCACACTGCCGTTCGATTTTCTTAGTATGAGCAAGACGATCACTTTCTGATACAGTATTTATGTTTTTTTTGTTTTACTGTTTATTATGTCTCCCCTATTGGAATTGAGCTCCCAAACCCAGGAGCCTTTGTCTCTTCCACACAGTGCTCTGCGCCGGGCGCCTGGAACAGTGCCCAGCACATGGCAGGGGCTCAACCCCTGGGCATCTGCTTCAGTGCTTGTCACAGGCAAATCGTGACAGCATGACTTCCTATCCTCTCAAGATCAAGTCTCAGTCTTTAGCACGGCACGCAGGACCCTTCACGTCTTAGGTCCTAACCGTCTCTCCTCCACTGTCTTCTCCAGAAAGACTGCGCTTCCGGGTGTCACTGGAACCGACTCATTTCACACGGCCGTGTCTCTCCACACGGTGTCCCTCTGCCTGGCAGGTCCCGACGGCCACGGAGCCTGTCCTTCACCACCACCGCCCCCTGCACAGCTGGCAGCCTCGAGTTTTCACCAAGCCTTGAGCACGTGTGTCACCGAGTGTCTCAGACTGAAAGGAAATGCTCCTTTTTCACCTCCTCTGTCTCCCCGAGAGCAGGTGCGTGCCGGTTCATCTCCCCAGCACCTCACTGGAAGCCTGGCGTCTGGTAAAATCTCAATGAACATCTGCTGAACTGAATGATCTAAACTCCAGCTAGACTAGTAGGAGCATTTTTAAAAAGCCACCCAAATGCCTTCATTTCAAAATATGTCTGCTTGCTGTTAAAGATGTAAAATAGACTATCAGTTTAATAAGAGCATGAGAATTCAACTTACTAAAATGATGACATCTACTGACTACAATAATTTGTTTAACACTGAAAAAATAGAGTTTTTCCCTAATAGTTACCAAGGCACGAAAACACATATAACAGAGCTATATAATTACTGTTTTAAAGAAAGTATGTATAATAATCTTAAAAAAAAAACACTAAGAAAACTAATACTTACTTATTTTCAGTCAGTCATTAGCTTGGAATCTGGCTTACTTCTCACAGGCCTTTCCAAAAAACACAGCACTAGTAGTTCCAAAGTCTTTTTTTTTTTTTTTTGAGATTTCATTTAAACAACTGCTAACACAGCTGGCCTGAGGTTCCCTCCCAATCCCAGCACCGATTACTGAACCCCACACACAGCGAAAGGAAACGGGAAAGCAAAGCGGCCCGTAGAGGAGGCAGCGCCACCGAGGTGCCCACCGCCCCCGCGGCGGCTGCACAGGAGCCGAATCACGTTCTGCAGCCCAGATGCTCATTACGGACACTCGGGCTATTTCTAACCTGCAGGTCATTTCCTTCGTCCACCGGCTGTTTTTCATCATCTGATTGGACTGTTTTATGTCAAAATAACCCGCCAGGTTAGAAATACCGCACACAAATCAAACGTTTAGCATTATCGGGTGAAGACTCTCTTTGAGAGGAAAGCGAGGGATGCTCCAGAGGCTAAAAGGAGCCCAAATTGGCCATGCACCAGCCCCCACTTCTCCCCACCTCAGGCAGCTGGCTGTTAGCATTGTCTAGAGAGGGCTCCAAACTGGGGGTCTCATCTCTGATTTGAAGCACTTCTTCTGCGGAGATGCTGCCCGTGGAGTCTTGAGACTGGAGCAACTCAGGATGGTCTGGTGTGGTTTCATCGGCAGCAGAATCACTGTTTAACTAAAAGGGGAAACAGGAAAACAGGGAACTTATTTATGAAACATGTTCTATATCATAACATATTGTGTGTGTGTGGGGGGGGGGGCGGGGGCGGGAGGGGCTTAGAAAGATCTTTAGCTTCCTAAAATGGCCCTGTGCTCCATTCAGTCTCTGTCCGAACGGGTGCTGCTATCGCACGCCGCTACCCCATCAGCACAGCAGGCGACGCTTTGCTGAACAAAACTAACGATGGGGAAGAGCTCCATGTAACTGTGTTCCTCTCGGACACATGCACACTTTGGCAGTAGCGTCTGTGTGTTCAGTTGGTCTGAGTGTCTGTGGGCAGGCTCTTCCCCGGGGCTTTGGTGCCACGCACGCGCCGAGTCTCAGGAAGCAGCGGTAGTTTCCATTGTGAACCGCTGTTCACCGACTTAAGCGAAAATCAGTACCACAAAACGTCAGTGATACAAAAAGAATTAGGGCAACAAAGGCGCTGTCAGGGCAGTCCATCATTAGCTGGTTTATAGTCTTTGAAAAGTAGTACCAATTAATTAGAAAAACCGAAAAGAAAATATTATAGTTTTTCCTCTTGTAAGTAGGCTGTACATTTTTCATGGTCAATATTCAACATAAGAAATATGAAGTCTGTGATTCAAGTAGGTAGGAAAAAAACTCCCCCGCGCCCCCCCCCCTTCCCGCCCCCAGGAGGTAGCTACTTCAAGTTCTTTTTTATCTCGCGGCCACCATGACGGGGTGGCCTTATGAGGAGACAGTGGTTCTGCCCCGAGGCTCTCGTGAGAGCTAGCGAACCTGATTAAACACTCACTATAGCCCAGGTGGCTTTCCTCCTCCTGAGACAGGAGGCAGATAGAGTCAGGAGTCCTGCTTTAAAGGGCGGGCGAGGGCCTGGGGGTGGGGGGCGGGGAGAGTATTGTGAGCACAGTTGCACCGCAGGTGGGGGGCAATGCCAGCCTCTGAGCCTACAATCTGGCTCCTGGGAGGGCCGGTGCCTCCTTCACTCCGTCACTGTTGTCAGGAACCCAACCATTCCTTTATCAGGGGCGGGGCCCGTCCGGCCCGCAAAATCATTTGGTCTGGCTCTACCAAGGCATCAGGGGTGAGTTAATTAAATGCCTGACCAAATATAGCAGGCTAATTTTTAATCTGATAATTTTATATGGTCCGCAAATGATGTTATAAATATCCAGATGGCCCTTGGCAGACAGAAGGTTCCCCAGCGCTGATTACATGAAGACAGTCCATGGAGGACCAAGCCTGGGTAGCATGGGTCTAGAGCAGTGGTCTCAACCCTTGGGAATCACCTGGGAATCTTTTTTAAAATCCTGATTTCTGGGCCTCATCCTCCAGAATGAGGCCCAGAAATCAGGATTTTAAAAGATTCCCAGGTGATTCTAATGTGCAGCCAAGGTCTGGAGGCACACTGCCTGTCTCAACCCCACTCCCTCGCCGCGGGGGCCCAGGACAAGTCACTGAGTCTGCAGAACTGCAACAACCATTCTTAGGTCCGTGGTTCGGGAGTTATAGTGACTAATACATGTAAAACCCCATGAGCAGAGACTGGCACATCTTACGCACTCAGTGAATGATAACGCTTATCATTCTAATACTTAAGTGGGGGTTAGTTGAGAGACACAGCGGGGTAGGCAATGAGATGCTAAAAAATGAGAGGCGACAGAAAGCCAACCACAAACTGACAACTGTACACCTGGTGTAAATCCCGCTCAGCCTGGCATTCAGCATCACTGCCAGCAACTTACCAGCAGACTGAGTGTGGGGCCAAGTAAAGAAAGGCCCGCTAGTTCCTCGTGGAAAGGCCCACTGTGGAACACAGGTACGCCTGCTCCACGCGGGCTGACTCTTTACTGCATGCACCGCGGTGGCTGTTCCACACACCCTTCCTCACACTGCACCTAACCTTCCTTCGCCCCCACATTTCCGAAGGACCAGACTATTCCACAGCCTTCTTTTTCTCATTTTTCACTCATTCTTTAGCTCTCTGTCATCAGCCCACGTGATACAAGTCAGAAGCTCCCTCTAACTGACTTGATTGTGAGACCAAAGTCGTGCTCAATCTTCCCACATTGACTAGAAGAGAAAAGCAGGGAGCAAACTGGTCTTCACGCTGATACTGAAAACATGTATCATTCACGGGAGGTCCTCTGAAAAGGCCCAGACCAACGCGCCGCTGCCGGGAGGGAAGCGGTGTAAAACCTGTCTTGGCCACGGGGTGTGCAGCACCCACGCCCTGTACGTCAGGGATAACGGCGTACCCCATTACTGCCGCGAGTCTGTTTCCATTTCAGTGTGTGCATTTTACCCAAACTGAAATGAAAACCAGAATACCAACACACAGGAATTGCTAGGCTAAGAGGGCAAGGAGAGCAGCTGTCGCTGTGAGAGGAGGTGACTGGGTACCATCTGCGTGCGCGAGAGGATCTGGCTTGCTGTGAGGGCCGCCTCCTCCTCCGAGGACTCGTCCGTGTCCTCCTGGTTGGTCAGGTTCAGGCTGGGGGTGCTGCTGGAGCACTTGTACTCCTGGAGGGACGGTGTGTCCCCTTTGTCAATGCTGTCCAGCGAGCGCCGGCGGACTCCCCAGTTGAAATTGTCCATACTCTCCCCCTGGAAAAGCAACGTGACTTTTAAGACCTCAAACACGCGCTGGTAACCGCAGTAAATGTGATACACTGGGGAAACATATACCAAGATGAAACATACTCAGTGCATCGTCATAAGCAGAGTTTCAATCAGCCCTTCAGTTTCTTGAAACTTTTAAGACATCATTAACTATTGATACTTCAAGAGATCCAAATATTTGGTTGAAATCCTCATTTTAACTAAGTAATTTTCTTAACTTTCTATATCGATTACTGGGGACCGACAAAATCTACTATCTAGGCCATTTCTAGTCTAACACACAAACACAATGAGATCACAAAGAAGACAAACACACCACGGACAACAACAAATACACAACCCACAACACCAGGCTGCAACTTACCTGCAGCTCCTGGTTAGCAAAAAGGAAAACACACAGAATTAGCAAGAACGAAGACAAACATTTAAATATACACTAAACTTCTTGGGGAAACCTCTGTGATTTCTCTAACTCAAAGACTGATTCAAGCTCTGGATTAAGCTTTGTGCAAGAAGCCAACATGTGATTTAAATTACTTTTTAATGCAAGCTATGTGGAGAAGTCAGAGACAGACAATGAAAACAACATTTCTATGGTACACTTCAGCAACACAAACTGTAAGAAAAATCTTCAAAATTCACATAGACTTACTGCTTGAAACAATGCAAAACTGACTTAAACTAACAGTGGGTTGACAACATACAAGGTCATAATTGTTTTAGTCTGTAGGACGGTTCCGACTAAACCAAATGGTCATTTCTTATTATAAAACAGTTTCAGCTCTTGCAGCTATCGAGGCATAACTCTGGCCACTTCAAAAGGTCTAGAGGGAATATGGCGAGTTTCTGTTTCACCCAGATTTATGCCCTAAGCCAATCCTCCTTTTGTAAGGATATAATTCTTATGACTCTTTCCTAAGCCCTGACATGACAAATGCCAGCAAAATGCGATTTATTTGTGTTCCTTTACTCAAGAGGGATTGTCCTGAATAGAGGCTTTCAAAGCCTTAACAACAACAAAAAAGGGTAAATAAAGCTGAGGAATACTTATTTCAAATAAAATTTAAGATGGAAGCCAGTTGTATAAAATCGATGAAAAGCAGAGCTGCTCTTGTCGAACCAGGAGCTCTAGCCACTTGGCCCTTTCCCTGCTTCCAGCGCATATCCCAGAGGCCTCGGGCTCTGCAGGCCAGAGCTTGAAGAGCCACCTTTCTGGAACACGTTTCAAATACTACTGTGTATCATACACAGTGATGGCGACAGCCCTCACACGCACTGGGCTTTTAAGGTTTCATTAGCAGTTAAGTTTGTTTTGTAGCAAAGTCTTTCCTGTTACCCTGTTTTAAGCAAGACTGTATTTAGATTTTAGAAAATCTCTATCATTTGATTTGGCCTAATTATGAGGCAGAAATCAGCACCACTCTCCCCAAAATACTGTCATTGGAATTAAAGATGGACCTGTAATAAGCATCTTTAATTTCATATGACTGAAGTTGTACTCAAAAGCCGTTTTTACCACCATGGACAATTTAGAGTATTAGATGAACTAGGAAGCATTTACTGTTCTTAAAAACAAACAAACAAAAAAAAACCCAACAAAAATAATCCTAACATTACAAAAATGTCAAGGGCCTACCTTTAGAAGTTTTAAATTCTGAACTCTAAAAAGCAAATAACTACAAAAGAATTCAGTAGTTGCACATGCCCTTGAAGTAGGGCAGCAGGTCTCTTCAACCCATCACACTTTTAAAAATATACATATATATTTTTATTTCAGAGAGGAAGGGAGAGGGATAGAGATGGAAACATCAGTGCTGAGAGAGAAGCATTGATCAGCTGCCTCCTGCACCCCCCATACTGGGGATTGAGCCTGCAACCTGGGCATGTGCCCTGACTGGGAACGGAACAGTCAACACTCAACCACTGAGCTCATCACACTTTCTGAAATTAATTCTAGAGGGTGATGACCTGCCCTTTTGGAAAACAAATATAAAATGAAAGGGAGATAATAGAAAATATCAGTGTGCATAAAGCACTGAGTAAGGATGCATACTCTTGAATATTTTATTGTAAAGGTGTGTGCATGTAGCCCTAGCTGATTTTGCTCAATGGATAGAGCGTCGGCCTGCAGACCAAAGGGTCCTGGGGTTGATTCCGGTCAAGGGTACATACCTTGGTTGCAGGCTCCTCCCTGGCCCAGGCCCTGGTCAGGGCTCGTGCAGGAGGCAACCAATTGATGTGTTTCTCTCACATGGTTTCTCTCTGTCTTTCCCTCTTTCTTCCATTCTCTAAAATCAATGGAAAAATATCCTCGGGTGAGGATTAAAAAAAAAAAAAAGTTAAAAAAATTACAGTTCTAAGGGAAAAAAAAGTGTGTGCATGTATATATTTGGATGTGATATAAAATGTATTAACTATGGATCACAGTGGGGAAAAAAACCCAAAACGTTTAAAAGCCACTGCCTTACAAGTTGCTGAATAATACTTGTGGGGCTCCTAGCGAACCTGTACGAGCGTGTCTTTGGGAATACGTAAATGGTGAACTATCAGAGAAGCCTGCATAGCTCCTCAGCTAGTGTAGAGGCGTCTCTCTGAGGCTCTGTGGTCATCTCCTCCTATCTGTAGGGGAGGCTGAAACATGCAAGAGGACCTCCCTATCTGGTTTCCCATCGACAACTAATGATGCAACATGGCCCAGGCCCTGACACTTCGTTCCTGCACCTCACCTAGGAGAGCCAAAGGAAATACCCCGTCAAGAGAGTTGAATGCATACGCGTTATATGGGTGACTTTAAATTCTCTGGAGCAAGATATACCAATGACATGGTATGGATGCCAAATAAGGCCGTGAGGCTCTTGAATACAGATATTGGTAACACTTTTAGAATGACCATTTTCTTAACTTATTTGACATAAGCTTTCCCTATGTTTGGGCGACTGTGGTTTAGGGTACTGACCTCAGTTATAGGGACAGGTCCCGAGTAGCCCAAGGCACCAGGGCAAGCCTATTCGCTTTGCCCCGGTGACTGTTTCAGAAACTGGCACGTGTCTCAATGTGGAACAAGGAGATGTGACGAGAAATTCGCTAAGAGTTTAGGAGAGCAACTTCTTTACTCTCATGAGAGCATTTCTGGAAGGGACCCCACTCTGAGCACCGCTGCTGTGGACATGAGGCCACACACAGCAGGGACAGCCATATCTCTGCTGTCGGCGGTCAGGCTGACTTACAGAGAAAGGCACAGTGTAGAGAACAGCAGAGAGAGACGCAGAGACCACCGTGCTCCGCATCTCTAAGCCCTGACTGCCTGGCTCGGCTGTGTGAGCTCAGAAACCCACTTTCTGAGTTGGGTTTTCCACTTGGAGAGCATCTGAACGGACACAAGCATCAATCTGATCTAAACTGAATCCATCTCGAGGAGAAAGCCCTTTGGGTGTTAGATGAAATGAGGCATTTGAGAGAACTGGCTACATCATCAAGTAGAAAGCGGTGAGGAATGTCACAGGAAGAGTCTCCCCGTCATGTGCCATAGGAAGAAGTTTTAAGAGACTCAAATTCTTTTGAACCATCAAGTTAGTGTAAGCGTCATGCTCTTTAAAACTGTCTGATAAATTTAATTGTTTTACTGTTTTGCTGCACATTAGTTTCTATATCACATGCCAAGCATTTAAGCCTAAGCTCACCCTAAATTTAAAAAATACTTTTGGCACGGCATAGGAAATATAGTCAATAATATTGTAATAACTATGTATGGTGTCGGGTGGGTACTAGACTTACTGGTGGGAATCACTTCGTAAATTATATAAATGCCTAACCACTGTGCTGTACACCTGAAACGAATATATTAAATGTCAACTGTAATTGAAAAATAAAAAAGATTAAGAAAAGGACTTTGGAAGAAATCCATTTCTTACTTTCTAAAGATAAAGACAAAAAATCAGATGTTCCTCTTTTATTTCAGATTTATTCTGCTATCGGACTGACTGTACTAATCATATTTAGTTCCCAATTTAGATTTTTATACTCTTGACCTTACACTGACCTTAATAAGGAAAGAGTCTATGGTCAAATCTTTAATTCTTATACAGCTACAACTATTCTATAAATATTACAATAGGAAGCCCATATCCTTACCTCTGCATCTTCCAATTCAACATCCAAAAAGTCAAAATCCTTAAAAACTCCAAACTGTTGTTCACTGGTATTATCTTCCACAGGTACTTCTTCCTCTTGAATTACGTCTTCTGTTGCAGAAATTAGACTAGTCTGTTGGTCACCGACTTCCAAATCTTCGTTAGAAGAAAATACCACCTGACCCCCCCACAAAAGAATAAAAAGCCACCTGTCAGCTTTGTCATTCTGCATAGGAGACGTCCTCGCCCTAAGAGCCACTGCAGGCCTCAACTCTCAGTGAATGCAGAGCTTTTACTGGTCTTCATGCTGACATCTAACTGGCTGAATCCTTAATTAGCACAGCTGCCAAGCGTCACAGAGACAAGTCATGCTTTTTCCATGCTTAGTCAGTACTAAGGTAAGTTAAAAAAGGCAAGCAAGGAGACAATACTTCCCCTTTCTTCATGGCACAACAGGATTTTTAAAACCTCTCCACATGCGTTCACGATTACTCACTGAGGGATTCTTCGGGAGGCCAGACTCTGGGCCACAGAGAGCAAGCACATTCATTAGCTTTTCTCTTGTTCTTCGCTAAGGGGAAAAAACATTTCAAATGTCAGGATTCCTGATAAAATAAGACAACTTCTCAAGTTTTCATACATATAATAAAGTTGATTCTTCTATTCCACAAATGTTCAGGGCTTTTTTAAAATCCTCACCTGAGGACATGCTTGGGGGGCGGGGGGGCAGGGGGAGAGAGAAACATTGACCAGTTGCCTTCCGTACATGCCCCAACCGGAAATGGAACCCGTAACTCAGGTGTGTGCCCTGACAGGAACTGAATCGGCAACTTTCGGTGCATGGGATGATGCTCAACCAACTGAGCCACTCCAGCCGGGCATGACTGTTCGGTTCTGATGTTCTTTTACGTACCTGTGATAGCTGTGGCCTTTTCCAGCTAACGGGGACCAAGGCATTAGAATTAGAACCAGAGGAAGTAGAAGAAGTACTTCTAGTAACAGCAATAACTTTGGGCTTCCCATTTCTTCCAGCTGTGGTATGTTGATCACCATATTTGTTTCCAATAATTGGTGTCTACACAGAAACAAAATGCCAGTGTTTGACTCAAATGTTTCAACATAAAAGGGTTGACAGTATATCTATGACATTTTTTTTAAAACAACCAACCAAAACATGGCATAAGGAGAAAAACTACTTAGCATGTGGTAGATGTTGCAAAAATCAAAGTTGTCTTTTTTTTAAATCAAGAGATTTCACTTTATTGGAGTCTCTGAGACTATCAGAGAGCTTATTCCTATTTTCAATATAGATCTGCTTTCTTTAAAAACAACTACCTCCAATCTTTCCCCATGTGATTATAAAATGTATCTTCTTTGAAAGCTCAGAGAATGTAAAAATAATTTAAAAAAAAATCTCACCATTCAGATTTAACATCTATTAACATTTTGGTATTTTTTCAATGCACATTGTTAAGCACTTCAATAATGTGCTTTTGCAAAGATTCAAGATAAGAACTTCAATGAGAAAGATATCTATGTAGCTTCTTACTACAAATCCAAAATTTATTTCAGTATAAATTCTATGAAGATTCAAAACTCATTTATATATATTTGGCTTTGTGAACTGTCTTGAATTTGCATTTGAAAATAATATTCAAGCTCATGTGCATGTTGTACAAGTCCCTTTTTATAATCTGGTGCCCACTTCCACTCGGCCCTGAACTCCACACACCAGCAAAACTAAACTTGCTATTGTTTCCCAAACAGGCCACGCTTTTACGGACATGCTGCCCACTTTGCATGGAATATTCACCAAAGCAAACCCCTATCTATTTTTAAGGGCGACTCCACACTTCCAAGGAGGCCTTCTCTGGTACCACCACCTCCGGGTAACTAGACTTGGACAGTCTGCCAAGTGATGGTGATTTGTTTATGGGCCCATCTCCCTTCCTCCACAAAAGTCGCCTGGACCACATGTGACTCATCTCTGTCCCTCTAGTACAGTGGTTCTCAACCTTCTGGCCCTTTAAATACAGTTCCTCATGTTGTGACCCAACCATAAAATTATTTTCGTTGCTACTTCATAACTGTAATGTTGCTACTGTTATGAATCGTAAATATCTGATATGCAGGATGGTCTTAGGTGACCCCTGTGAAAGGTTCGTTCGACCGCCAAAGGGGTCGCGACCCACAGGTTGAGAACCGCTGCTCTAGTATATCTCCAGTGCCTACGCATAGCAGGTACTTAGGAAGTTTTGAAGAAAAAACTGAAATTAAGTATATCAAATGTTTTGAGAATTCATATCACTGCCTCAGTTATTCCATTGATTTGTATGGTTTGACCTGAAAAAAAGGAAAGCCCACTTTATAATTTTCCCATGCACTCCATGTTAGAAATTCTCCGATGATATTAACTATTAGCAATAAACATGCTTTCTATCTTAAAAAAAACAACAACACACCAATAAGCTCTGGATAAATTTTAATATCAAAACTAAACTGCAAAAAAGTTTTTAAAATTTAAGTATTCTTAATCAATTAAAATGTGATTAGATCTTCGACTTGTACCTTTCTCAAATCCCCTGCAATACTTGGTCCATAACTTCACTTCTCTCTTGAAAAATTTTTCCTTTGGCTTGTAAAAGACCGTTTCAATAGCACCAAGACCACCAAGATTGGGATTAGGTGCTGAAGAAAAAAAATGGGGTTCCCAGCAAGGGCCCCAAATCTTTATATGAGATTTATATTAATACTAGAGGCCTGGTGCATGAAATTCATGCATGGGGTGGGGGCAGGGGTGGGTCCCCTCAGCCCAGCCTGCACCCTCTCCAATCGGAGATCCCTCTCACAATCTGGGACCACTGGCTCCTAACTGCTCACCTGCCTGCTTGCCTGATCGCACTTAACTGTCCCCCCTGCCAGCCTGGTCACCCCTAGCTGCCCCCCCTGCCGGTCTGGTCACCACTAACTGCCCGTGCCCTGCCAGCCTGGTCACCCCTAACTGCCCCCCCTGCCAGCCTGGTCGCCCCTCACTGCCCCCCTCTGCCAGCCTGCTCGCCCCTCACTGCCCTCCTCTGCCGGCCTGATCGCCCCTAACTGCCCCCCCTACCAGCCTGGTGGCCCCTCACTGCCCCCCTCTGCCAGCCTGCTCGCCCCTCACTGCCCCCCTCTGCTGGCCTGATCGCCCCTAACTGTCCCCCCTGCCAGCCTGGTTGCCCCCAACTGCCCCCCCGCCAGCCTGGTCACCCTCAACTGCCCCCCCTGCTGGCCTAGTCGCCCCCAACTGCACCCACCCCCGCCCCCCTGCCGGCCTGGTCGCCCCACGCAGCCTGCTGTTTAGTCATTTGGTCATCCCTCACTAACCCCCCTGCCGGCCTGGTCGCCCCACGCAGCCTGCTGTTTAGTCATTTGGTCATCCCTCACTAACCCCGCTGCCGGCCAGGTTGCCCCATGCAGCCTGCTGTTCAGTCGTTATGTGAGGGCGTCCTGACCAATTTGCACATTACCCTTTTATTTGTATAGATGACATAGCCAGAGGCCCAGGTTTCCTTTTGGACTGGTGGGCCCTGCCTCTCTCTTGCACTAAAACACTGGGCTTCTCAGTTCTCAGTTTATTTTAGTCTTCTTGTTCCTTCCACGATTTCAGCTTTCTACTTTCACAACACTGAAAAAACCCTTAATTTGTTTTTTGTTTACTTCCACCCAAGATTTCTTCTAAAACTTCAGATCTGAAAATCTAATTGACTACTAGGCACCTCAGTGAGTATGTTTCTTAGTCACTTCAGAGTCAATAAATTTAAGACTTAACTCATCTTTCTTTCTTGCTAAGAACTGTTCTTGAATTCCCATTTCCTCTGAATGGGACCAACATTCATGCAGTTGTCAAAGCAACTATCCTTAACATTTCTTCACTAGCACCTCTTCTCCTTCCCATCAAATCCCATCAATTATTTCCTCAGTCTTTTTTGAAAACCATCTTTCCTCTGCAGTTGCCTAGGAACGGTCCAACATAATCTTTGTTTTTAATTAATTAATTTATTTTTATAAGTATTACATATGTCTCCTTTTTCATTGATTGACCCCTCCCAGGCCACTCCCACCCCTCGGGACACGCCCCTACTGCCCCAGTGTCCTAGTCCATTGGTTATGCTAATATGCATGCATACAAGTCCTTTGGTTAATCTCCAACATCATCTTTTGCTCAAAGTGTTCTAATAGATTCCTCACAGATTCCCCTCCCCTTCTCCCTGGTCTATCGTCCATCCTGTTGCCTGACTGATCATCCTAAAATGCAAATCCTAATATTTCCTACTCTAGCTACAAATCCTTTAAGAATTCCTACTGCTTCAAGATAAAACCATTTTGTTACTAAGGCAGGGGAAATCCCAGTGATCCTGCCCTCGCCCTCTATGACTTCAGCTTCATTTCTCTTCACTCTACCTCTGTTCTCTGTGCTTAAAGAATGCTGTACCAAATGGAAGTTCCTGGAGCACCATGCTTGCTCACAATTATAAGCCTCCCTTCACATGCTGTCTTTTCTGGGATATAATCTCCCCACTCCAAACTTCCATGTACACATGCCTGTCTAGCATTACTTACCCTTCCGACACTCAGCTGAGACCAAGTTAGATACACATGCATTCCTACACGACCTTCAACTTACTTCCAGCCAAGCAATGACCACTACTTTTATCTGCCTCTTTCCCCGAGAGACCGTAAGCTTCTGGAGAGGCCTACTCCCCACCCCCCTCCCATTTCCACAGCACCTATCTCAGTGCCTCCTCCTGAGTATGAGCAAAATCAATGCATTTTGAATGAACAGACAAACATTTCTACGAGAGCATCTATATCCTGGGCATCTTACCTCGGATATATCAAAATGAAAATCTAAGGTCTTCCCAGGCAGCTCCTTGGAGACATTATTAAAAATCTTAGTGAAGGATATTTCAGGCGAACCCACGTCACCACCATAGGTCTTGGGGCTATCATTGGGCACAACGAGACTTGCAGAGCGAGACACCACCAGCTTTAATATGTTAAGGGCTTCCTTCCAATAAGGACTCTGATTTAAAAATAGATTAGACATACAGAAGTTACAAATACATATTTAACTAAGAATAAAAGTTTAGTTATACTGTAAACAATGGAAATATTATTTCTATAAAAACTCTGGTCATTATTCATTTTTACTCTGAAGTCCTTAAAGAGGATCTGAGTTTCAAAAGGAAAGGAAACAAGTTATTATTTGTATGGTTAGTTCTATGAGACACCATACACTTAATAATGTTTCCAAATCAGAATATCTTGCTTGCATTCTTCCAGTAAGTGCTTTATAAGTAATAGTAGTCGTAAACAGAGGAGTGATACATATGTGAACATTCTAAATAAATGAAGTTTATAGTTTTATGGCTCTAAATATTTTAAGTCTTGGAGGTAAAGTATTTTCAATACATACTTTTTTAGACATAAAAATATTAAAATACTAAAAAAAAAACCCATTAGATTTTTGTCCGTGACCCAAGCCCCAAATAATTAGTGTAAATGCTGTGCTAAAGTGATGCGCTCAGGGATTACTGAGTTGTATAAGGTGCTTTCCCCCCTACATATATGGTGACTATGTGTTTTGGGTTGTTTTATGCTTTTCTTCATTTTGTATGTTTTGAAATAATTTAGTTGTAATTTACATGATAAATGTGTAGGTATAGAAGAACCAATGTCAAATAAAGAATTTATATTTTTCCCTTACTATCTACTGAAAGGAATACATATAAAAACTATTTTTTCTTATATTTATGATACCAATATCACATCTCAACCTTGTATTATACACATTGTTTTATAGTTGACAATTCTGGGTGGGACACCTTTAAAACAACAAAAGGAAATGAAAAATCTTTCGCAGAACTGAGTTATCCAATTTAATGACATCTTGATATAAAGACACCTAAAGTACAAAATATTTAACAATAAAAATGTCCACATAATATTGAGATATTTGAAGCATATCATTGTAAAAAAAAAAGTTTACATTTAACAAGGTAGAAATTTTTTTCCCCCCTGACAGTTAATTAGAGGCTCTGAACATTAGAAAATACAAAAACTTCTTCAGGAAATTCCATAAATTATATAGGCAATTGTGTTCTAAATGTAAACGATAACCAATAGTTCAATTCTGTAAAATGTTCAATGTTTCAATAAAGCAGAAGTCACTAATTGTGATGGGCCATTAGCTAAATATGACCTTGGTTCACATAACACTTAAAAATAAATTTGAGCCCAGTTGGTATTGCTCAGTGGTTAAGCATTGACCTATGAACCAGGAGGTCACGGTTCAATTCCCGGTCAGGACACATGCCTGGGTTGCAGCTCAATTCCAAGTAGGGGGGCCTGCAGGAGGCAGCCAATCAAATGATTCTCACTCATCATTGATGTTTCTATCCCTCTCTCCTTCTCCCTTTCTTTTTCTGAAATCAATCAAAACATATCAAAGCCTGGCCGGCATGGCTCAGTGGTTGAGCAGCAACCTATGAACCAGGAGGTCATAGTTCAATTCCTGGTCAGGGTACATGCCCTGGCTGTGGGCTCAATCCTCACCCAGTGTGGGGCGTGCAGGAGGCAGCCGATCAATGCTTCTCTCTCATCAGTGATGTTTCTATCTCTCTTTCCCTTACTCTCTGAAATCAATAATAAAAAGATAATAAATAAAAACATTAAAAACAAAGAGTCTGCTGTCTAATAAGCTGTATCCACAATACTGATCTGCATAACAAGGCCTTGCTAACAGTTCAAAGGTGAAATTCAGTACAGACTAGGTTGACGTGTCATCACTCACATTAAGCCAAGTCTGATTTTTTCACTTTCTAAATATCTGGTGCTTTTTATCAGATAGCATTCGGATTCTGCTTTTTGTCATTTACATTGAGAACATTGTTCCATTGTACACATTCCTGAAAATATGATTTATGGACTTACCACTTCTTTCCTCTTGGACATTTAAGGTGCCTCTGGTTTTTATGATTATAAATCACTTTGAGATGAACATTTCTGCATCAGTTTTGTGGTCACTCACCTGTACATATTTGCCAATAATCTTTATGATCTCCAGGTTAAACTGCTTGACTGGGGCGGCAGAGAGGTCAATGTGACTCAAAAGACTGTAGATGATCTGCAGCAGTGACTGCTGCATACTGGACAGTCCTTTCTCCAGCAGCTGAAAGTGAAAATTCGGTATTTACATTTATGATATTGAAAAGTAGACTTAAGTCAGGAGTTTAAGGTTAGAGGACTAGAAATCCAGAGACGAAGAAAAGTAAAAGGTAATGTCTATTATCTTAATCTTAGTGTTTTCTTTTACTTCCTTAGTTTAACTGAACACCATTTATTTTACGTAAAGAGAAAAATCATTATACCACCACCACCACCACCACCACTAAAAAATAACTACCCCCAAGCTACTCACACCAGCCCCTGATTAGCTATGTGATCTTGGACATGTTTCTTAACTTCTCTGAGCCTCTTGATTTTTTAAAATAAAATAGCGATAACCCCTACCTCCTAGTGTTTGCAGGACAGTTAAATATATAGTTTTAAATACATGTTAGCAATACTTTGATAATTATGCATAATAATGCAGCAAGGATAACTTACACTAGTAAGAGCAACATTTGGGGCAAAGCATCCTCTCTACAGAGCAGACAGATGCTGCCGTGTGTGGCACCCCCGGGCTGACTGTGCAGGTCCAGACCGCAGGGAGAGCTGGTGCTACCTGAGTGGCGAGCTTTACGGTGGCACAAAGTGAAGGTGGTCTAAGGCAGCGGTCGCCAACCTTTTGGACCTCGCAGACCACCGGTTGGCGACCGCTCATCTAAGGCACTTAAACTCAAAGCCGATTACACTCAAAGCCGATTAAGGAGGTTAGCACTGGTTTTATCCTGCCTCTTGTCCTGAATGGGTAGGAATAGGAGACATGGAGAGACGGGAAGCTGCCAGGCAGATGGCCCACAGTGTCAGCTCTCTTAAATGTACAGCTGATGGGAGCAAGCCTCTCAAAGCACTTTAACAATCCACACAGTCCTGAAGCATTTTATGACAGTCAGGGACGTAGCCAGATTAAAGTGCTATGAACATTATTTACAACGTTCATTGAGTTATGAATAATGTCTTTTCTGTTTACACAGCATTTTAGGCTTAATTTAATTTCTAGAAGCCAACTTTCTAAAACGGAAGGTAGGTACTAGTTTATCATAAGCTGACAAACATTTTTAGTGACTAGCAACTTCTTCCTTCTGCGGTTCTCTCTGTGGCTTTCTACTCAGTAACTTGCTAGGCATGAAGTTACTCCCTCAACAGACAAATATTAACTTTTTATGCGGTTCTAGGGCTAGTTTTTTTTTTTTTTTAAATAATTCTGTTTTTAGCCACCAAGATCATATTTGAGGTCAGGAAACAAATGTATCATCAAAATAAAAAACGCCCTGGCAGAAATGCGTCTGCACACTGTATTATGCCAGTAGGGATTTCACAGTCGAGAACTACTTGTGTAGAAGCAAAGATGACCATTCTCGAGGATCAAGACCTCTAGAGACCCGTTTTCCATTTTAAATAAAGTTGAGGTTTACACTATTTTGAATTCCTATCTCTTAGGGACAGTGAACGAAGACATAAATACTGAAAATGGGAAAAAAGTTTATAAAAACGTCCTTTATACTGGAAAAAAATGATTTATGTTTTTCTTTAAAAAGGGATGCAATCTATAATCACTCTCAAAACAATTTGAAGATTAGTATCAGTGCTCCTTTTAGAAATACGTCTACATACAACTTTTGCCACAGAGCAGTTAAAGAAACCCACCACCACCCTTTGGTAAGTTTACCTCCGCCAGGTAAGTCACCAGGTTGAACGTGGTCTCCGAGAAGGAGTCGTGCAGGTACCGACACACCACGTTGATCCAGTTGGCGCAGTCCCTGGAGTACGTGTGTGTGCTGTACAAACTCATCATGTGCGCCAGATTGACAAGGGTTGGGCATTTTTCTTCTGCACAAACCTAAAAAAAAATAAAACAATTTCATTCACCACAAATAAAGACGCAAGTGTAAGCTTGATTTCATACTACATATATTTAGTGAAACAAATGTATATGTTGAAGCTTCAATGCATTTTATTTCAATACAGTAGGAAAGTTAAGCAGAAGAGAAAAAAAGGCCCCGACATGAAGAGACTAGCAATAGATAATATGGAAAGATAATTAATATGTCAGATACTCCTGTGGGTGCTAAACAAGTATGGCTTTTTCTCAGTCTGCTGCTCTGGAAAACCGTCTTTGGTAAAAGCCCATTCATGGTTTTGTAAAAACTATACAAAACAGGCTCAGACTGGGAATTCTCTGGGAGGGTCAGAGATGCCTGCTACAGACATGCTTTAGTCTGAAGCCACCTGAGGTCCCGCTAGAGCAGTAAATTGCAAAAAGCCTCAATGTGCGCATTATACTCAAAGGACTTCACTGGACCTCAAACTGCTCTTCAGGAAATTGCCTAAAGCTCTTAAAGGTCCTTGGCCAATAGCCTTATTTTTCTTTAATCTTTTATTTTTTCCTGTTTTTTAGACTCAATAATTTACATTGTCCTATCCCCAAGTTTGCCGATTCTTTCTTATGCATGCTCAAATCTGCCTTTTTAAAAAAAATGTATCTTTATTGTTGAGAATATTATAGATCTACACCCTCTCCCCCAAATCATTATAGGCCACTTCAAAATATACTGACTTCCTGCAGCACCAGGGGAGCTGAATGTTGGGCACCTTACTGACCAAATGCACCTGCTTAGTCTGTCTGTGCCCTAAGTCCTAGGTGAAGATGTTCCTTTTATTCTCCTCTGGGGGCACCCCAACAAAGCAGAATTGGAAAAGGGCCACACTGCTCCTCCATTTCTATCGTAAAAAGGCTAGCCTCCATGAAATTTATTTTAGTTTCTTTTTCCTCACTTATTCTTCCATCGATTGATGGTTTGTATGTATCGGCACAAACTGCCTGGAGCACTGAGTGAAGAAAGTGGTGTTACCTTTCAAACTACAGATATTGTAACTTTTAGATGACTCTGACTTTTATTTTGACTAATCATGTGGACGTTGTCACTGGAGAGGCCCGTGATAGGGAGGTACGCAAGACTGTGCAGAGACTAATACAGCACTGTAGAAGCTATTTTATAAGTAAAGTCATTACAACCAGCTGATTTCAGCAGGAGTAGCCTTTTACCCATACAACAAGCACCAGGAAGAAAAAAAAAATTGGTTGATATGTCTTATATGTATTTCAAAATATACTAAGTTATCATGCTATTTTAACAAAAAATCACATTTTACAATTTCACAATTGGTTCTTTTTCAGGAAAAAAATTTTTTTTAATTGATTTTTTTGATTTTTATGGCAGAAATAGTACGCTTACAAGCATTTGTTATGAGACTTTATTGATTTTTTTACAGAGAGGAAGGGAGAGGGATAGAGAGCTAGAAACATCGATGAGAGAGAGACATCAATCAGCTGCCTTCTGCACATTCCCTACTAGGAATGTGCCCGCAACCAAGGTACATGCCCTTGACCGGAATCGAACCTGGGACCCTTGAGTCCGCAGGCCGACGCTCCATCCATTGAGCCAAACCGGTCAGGGCTCAGGAAGAATTTTTATCTTTCCTGAACAATAAGACATCCCTATAGAATTCTTACATTCTTAAATAATATTTTCCCCTAAAGAATGATTTTTAAAAACCTATATTTAGGACAAAAGGAATATATGCTGTGCAATTTTATAATAGTCCAAATGCTTTAGATTTTGGAATTACCAGGTTAAAATCGGATCCAAAAAGTCTCATAACAAATGCTTGTAAGAGTACTATTTCTGCCATAACAAACAGCTGAAAAGGACAGTATCTGTCCTAAGTGTTGCCTCATTTTAGATTCTATGCTTTCCAACGGCACAAACAGTAGACCCAGAGGTATCTGCATAATGAGGAAGCACGTAATGGCAGAAAATTACTCGACAGCTTAAGTGAGAGACTAATTAAGAAATCAATTTGATCCACATCCTGCAGGTTGCTGAAAGCATACAGATGGAACCGCTGTGTGCTGCTCAACAGGGAGAAAACAGACTAAAAAAACACACAATTTATGACTCATGGAAAGCCATATATTTTATTTCTTAAAAAAAAAAGTATTTGGAATTTCCTATTCTTTGTCTCAAATTATGACAGAGGAGGCTTGACACTTGAGGGGCGTCCACACCCTCCCGGTGGGGTAGCCGGGCTGCGCTGACCCCTGACCCCAGGAGTTTATTCAGCACATTTCGGCGGAGGCTCTTCAATGCTTCTACTTCCTTTATTAGGGAATCTATGCTTTTTATTTTCTTGAAATCCCAAAGTAAGCCAATATACTTCTCCCCAATATTTTCTTTTCTACCCCTCATAAAGGAAAAAAAAACCCTTGTTTACATTTTTCTGTGTCATTAGAGTATTAAAATGAAAATTATTTTAATGAATTATTTATTTCATATAACTTCTAGACTTCATTCATGCAAATATATTTTGTTGGTTTTTTTTTTTTAAGACAAATAATCACCTTCAGAGCAGATGCTTCCATGAACTATAATAATGGCTCTTCTTTTTAAATACATGCTTTTCAAGTAATTATGTTAAGGATCTCTTCTTATTTAGAAATTTAATTTAAAAATGGAATCAACAGAAAAAAATGGAATCAACAGTATGATTTCATTCAGTTTTTTTGTCACTAATTAAATATCATCTATCAAGATAATGAAAAGAGTCTTACTCTTATTACTGCTAATGTGGTTAGCTGGGCTGGTAGTACTTGTCACTGCACTGGCACCCAGAGATAAATCTGCACTCACCAGTGTTGGCATCTGGGCCGCCCAGAGGTGGGTGTTGTATTTGGCTTTCTGCGTGCTTGCTCTGCCCGTTTCCTGCTGTGCTGCTTGTTAACTGAATCTCAGCCTTTTTTTTTTTTTTTAATTGCTTATATAAAAAGTTCTTCCAGAGGATTTTACTTGCTTGGTTCCCTTCTGATCCCAAATTCTTTGATTTTTTTCCAACAGTGTTGGTTATCTTACTGACACTGCTATTCACTCACCACCCCCCAGTTCACCTAATTCCTCTTGTATGTAATTCCTTGTAAATTTACATAACTATTTCTTACAACTGTTTTTATTTTTAGTCTGAAAAACTATTTCTAAGACTGAATGTGACCCCCCTCCCGCAAAAATAATTATTATTAATTAAGTATAAGCAGAAGGCAAAATATCTGAGAGTTCTTTATTGTTAAGAGAAGAAATTGTTACAAATATAAAATTTAATCACATTCTTTTAAAATTAAGGATTATAACACATAAAAAATGCTAACAGATGATTTAAAAAGTTACATTTCTATTTCAGAACTGTCCAGTGGAAGGGGAGGAGCCAAATAAGAAAAGAAATGAAGGGGACAGAGAGAGAAGAGGAAAAGAGTATTAAAAGGAGAAAGGCAAATATAAAGAGAGAACTTTCAGAACCCCCAGGTACATTCTGCCTTCTTCCTCCTCAGGGCCTTTGCACATCAACTTCTTAAAAAACTTCCACCCTCAGCCTGTTCTTTGTTTCCTACCCAGGGATCTTACTTTGGTTATTCCTATTCAGTCTTCAAAGTCAGCTGACTTCCTAGTGGAAGATTTTGTTCTGTGCCTCTAAAGTACTCTGCCCTCTCGCTGTGTTTATGACTCTACGGTGACTATCTACTTCCTTGATTTCATCCTCTCTCTAAGGCCCGCAGGATAAGTACTCCATGTTCTTTATCACTGTATTTCCAGCACCTCACCCAGTGCTCAGTAAATATGCTAGTGAATAAATGAGTGAATTAGAAACTGCCAGAAAGGTAGAGGATAAAGTAGGGAAACAAAGCAGAAAAAGATGGATTTAGAGGAGTGTTACTCTAATGAATTTTATTCACTGTCATTTCAGCAGTTGTAACTTGAGTCATATAACACCTTTATATGCGTAAAAAGAATACAAATTCAGAGAGAAGTGACAGTAAAAAGATCTCCCTTGAAGATAAACTCTAGAAAAATTTCCCTCTCGTGTTACCTTTCAGCATAACATTTGCTTACCTTTGCTATCCGGCTGGCTGTTTCTTTGCAAAACTGAGTTGGGCTGTCAAAATGCTGGATTAAGTGAGGCAATAAGCAAAGGATGTTAAGAGGAAAGCCTATATAAAAAAAAAAAGAAAGCGAACAGTAACCCATGTTATTGCACATAACTTTAAAAGTTAAAAGTATTTTTTTAATGATTCACAGAAACCATTTACTTTTTATTTCCTGGAATACTGGATCTTCTAAATATTTTTAGCTTTTAGCAAAGAATTTAAGCTATCTCACATATTTAAAAAAACTGTAACTGTAGAAAGTCAGAAATTAGTAGATTTCCAAGCAAACAGCAGTTTACATTTCACTACAGTAAAAAGCGAAGCGTAGGAGCGATCCTCTTAGCGGTACCTGACAACTGGGAAGGGTCCACCAGCGAGTGTTTGGAGACAGCAATGAGCTTACTGAGGAGGTGCACGGTCATTTCTTGTGTGGACACTGAGGTAAAACCTTTAAGGAAGAGCTGCTGAAGGCCTGGAAAATTATTCCATTTCAATTTGCTTTGCATGCTTTCGATCTTCTCTCGACTCTCTGATTTATCCAGAGGCAAATGGATAAGCAGTTTGTTGAGGAGCCGGAGAGCCAGGAGGTATTCATATTCATAGTCGGATTCTAACAAGGAAGCTCCGATCCAAAAAATGGTGGCCATCAAGTTGGCAGGCTCAGTAGTGGACTGCACGTCATACAGGCCCCTCTCCCGCAGAGACGACAGGCTTCTAGTCCTGGCTAGACTATTGCCATGGTTTATCCGTCCATCCATTATATCCAGTGTGTTGCTGCGCCGCCGGTCACCTCTCCGGTCACCAATTAAACTTAATCTCAAAGAGTTACTCCTTGCACTACTGTTACATCCCAAGTAACTGCCACTATTAACGGGACTTGTGCTTAGATTTAGTTGTCCAGTGCTTTTCCTGTTAGCTGCATACTTGTTTCCCATGATAGGATCATGATATGAGGTTCTTTAAAAGAGAAAAGACAAACGCATGCACGGTCATTTCTTTCGCTACATTAATTTTATTCTTGAAAACACTGAAAAAACGATAACCATTCCCAGGGAAAATCATTTTAAAGTATATCTGACTTTGCTTAATAAAATTTGAGTTCTTCCCTCCACATTAAAACAAAATGTACAACAGTATCTTTTCTACCGTGGCCCACAGTTTGCTTTGAGTTGGATAAGGTCTGTCATGAAGTGAAAATTCTGCTGCGGTAATCATGGATAGCTCTGCTCTGGGACTTAGCGAATGTTACGTCCAAAGCAGACCTCATCTGTCTTATTCCCAGACTTGATGGTCCCAGTGGCTCTTTCTGTCAATGCACACTCCTTCCAAAAGAACCAACTCAAAAGTTAAGTCTTTGATTTCTCCCCCCCCCATATCCAATTATCATCAACTGAAGAATAATTACAGAATGCTTTCTACGTGTGCCAGCAGTATGCAAAATGTGAAGAATATCTGATAAAATCTACCGGGGAAGAGTGATGTCTAAATGGACCCATTTATAGCCTGTTAATTGCTGTTATTAAAATATAAAGAAAACACTGTAAGAACCCAAAGGATGGAATAATTAGCACTTCCCTGGGGGTGGGGGACGTCAGAAAAGCTTAGCCAGGAGGTGGTATTTGAGGTGGGACTTGAAGGATACTTCAGTTCAGTCAATTTAGGGTTTGCAAGGAAGAGAAAGGGGGAGGGAGGCAGCTCCAGGGAGAAGGAAAGTGTGAGTCTGAGGGGCCTGGCCCGCTGGGGGGACCATGGGACGCCAAGTGCCGCGGGAATGGAGCTTGTCAGGGAAGCCCATCTTTGACCAAGAGCAACAGCATTGCCACGCATGGCTCTGTGACTTCCCACACATCCTCACGGTCTGAGGCTCATTCCCCACTGCTAGTCCATCCCAATTCTTCGGTACCATTCTCACTACCGGTATTAGAATAAGACAGCGCCATAGCTATACATATTCAGCCACTGAAGTTCTATATACAAAGCTACTACCAGTTGCCTGGTTTAAATTCTTACTGAGAAAGGGCAGAAAGAAGATCATAATGCTTCATGGTTTCAGCCAAAGTATCAATCGCAGATTCCAACGTGAGAAGAAGCTCAATCACAAATCCCTAGAAAAAAGGGCAGACTCTCATTAATTATGCTCTGGAAAACGGACTTCCCAAGGAGATTTAAAAATAGAACAAACTCCACAGTAACATTATAAATTGATTAAACTCTTAAGCAACATGATCTTGCTGATTGATGAAAACTCATCAAATTAATGGCATAAAATGATTATAATGGCACCACAAATTGCTTATGCTAGAGATCTAGGAGCCATCCTTGCTTCTTTCTCTCACATTTAAATCGAATCTATCAACAAGTCTTGAAAATACTACTTTTAATATATCTTAAATATGACCCTTTTTCTCCATCTCCACAGGTTCCCTTAATCTAAGCTCTCACCACACTTCGGCTTGGACTCTTATTGTAGCCTCTTACCTGACCCTCCTCGCTTTCACTCTTGCTCCGCTAAGGACTCTACCTAGCCCTCAAGGCAAGTCTTTGATAAGCTAATCATATCCATCACCCTCCTCTCAAACCCTTGAGTGGCTTCCCGTCAATTCAGAGTAAAACCCTATCTCTCACCAGGGAGTAAAACCCTATCTCTCACCAGGGTCTACTAGGCCTCACATGATCTAGCCCTGCCCACCCCATCAATCTCCTGCCTTTAGATAGCCCCATCCAACACACTCCAGAGCAGTGGTCGCCAACTGGTGGTCCGCGGGGTCCGAAAGGTTGGTTTGAAGGTCTTCAAAAAAAGCCTATTGCTTCTGCCTCAGGGCCTTTGCACCTGTCTGCCTTACTTCCCTTGCCAGAAAGGTTCTTGCCCAAATTATCACAGGGTTCACTTCTGATGTATGGGTTCAAAAGTCACCTTCTTAGATGATCACATAAAAAATCACTCCCTCCTGCCCTGGCTCGTGTGACTCAGCGGTAACAGTGCTGGCCCACGGACCGAAGGGTCTCGGGTTTGATTCCCAGTCAGGGCATGTATGGAAGACAACCCATTGATATCTCTCTCTTACATCGATGTTTCTCTTTCTCCTTTCCTCTCTCTCTAGAATCAATGCAGAAAAACAAACATATCCTCAGGGGAGGATTAAAAAAAAATTGCTCCCTCCTTCCCATCACTCTTTAACCCTCAACTCTACCTTATCATCATAGCATTGCTAAGTAAAATTATGCTGTACATTACTGGTGGATGAAAGGCTTACTCCCCCAATAGAATGTGAGCTCCAGAATGCCAGGCCTTTTGTCTTACTCACTGCCATATCCCCAGTGTCCTGAAGGGTGTAATAGAGACTTGAGTTCTCTACTGCAATACTTCACTCAATGTATCTTAAGAAATGGAATTCAACACTCCATTTTAAATGTAACTTCTTATCTCTTTTACCTTCTCATCTCTAATGTCCAGGGATGTGTGTGTGTGTGTGTAAAGGTAAAGCTTTCTCCGATAGGCACTAAGGTTATGAAAGATTAATCACAAACCTTTGTTAACATCCCACATGAATAATTCTGTATGACCATGATCTTGCCCCACCTGCAGCGACCTGTATTTGGCACTAAGTCCTTGACTGCAAGTAGATGGTCAACGACTGCTGCACGACTTTAATGAAATACCTGTGCCTCTTCTCCTGGATCCCCCACCGTTTCTACGAGTCTGGAGAGAACGTCAGAAAGCGTAGCTGCAGAAAGAGGCTGCTTTAGGGCCCTGAAAATCTGAAAGGATCTCCCAGCGTAGTGTCGGGAAGAACAGGACAGTGCTGTCTGCAGAGCGACTTCACTAAGATGATGCTCCAAATGAACTGCTTCTGTGAAGAGAAAGGAGGCAAGTCGGTGGCTCTTGTTTATCAGAATAGAATGCAGGGCGACAGCCAGAGGCTCGCCGTTTGCACCCAGTGCCGGCACCGTTCCTGGCAGGGTGGACAGCGCCCCCACGCTATGAGCCCGTGCCTTTTTCTCTCCTTCAACCTCATCTGCATGTCGGTGGCTCCTCTGTCTAATCTTTCGGGGGACGTTCCCCCTTGAGAACAGGGTTTCTCCCCTCAGCACTACTGAACATATTAGCCAGGTAAAGTCTTATGCTGTGCAGGAATTCATTCGTTGCAGCAGCCTCCCTGGTCTTCACTCAACTGCACGCCGGGAGTAAATCACTTGCTCTTGCCCTGCATTGTGACAAAA